CAAGAAAGGAAACAAGAAGTACAAACGGAAAATATTAGTAAATTTAAAAGCAAATTAGATACATTAAAGATCACTGTTGTCTTTTACACAAGGAAGATACATTAACCATCGACTTAATCAGCCCCAGACAATGGCAAGCCCCTTCCAGACCCCGCAGCTAAACCCTAATGCAGACATCTTCAGCCCTGTTAGAAGTCACATCCCAGATATGAATGTCAGTAATAGGAGTGATCCAGTGCGAAGGAAGTCACAGGAATTCGATGGGAAGGCACCGTGGGAAGCATATAGAGCACAATTTGAGCTACTGGCAGAGATGAATGGATGGACAGAGGAGCAGAAAGCAGTATATCTGGCAACAGCCACTGGAAATACTTGGACAGTTGTCAGCAGACGACAGGCACAACTATAGAGCACTGGTAGCGGCTCTAAAACTCAGGTACGGAACCCAAAATCAGTCAGAAGTATACAGGGCTAGGTTTAGGACGAGAGTCCGTGCTAAAGGGGAGAGCCTGCAAGAGCTGGCACAGGACTTGGAAAGCATGGCACACAAGGCCTACCCAACTGCACCACCCGATCTCCTCCAGTTGTTGCTGAGAGATCAGTTTGTAGATGCCTTGGACAGTCCACAACTTAAGATACATTTTCACAGTCCGGCACGCTATAACTGGGCCACTCCAATTTATGTTGAAATACAAATCAATGTACTTTCTCAACAAGAAACATATAAAGGCCGTTTTTATAGAGCTCCAAGTCTATAACATTTAAAATAACTTACCGTGTTTCCAAGATTTCGTAAGCCTACAAGTCCTCCTTTATGCAAGTTATCTCTTGACCTACTGGCATAAGGTTTAGCGATGTCAACACTTTCCTGCATTGAATAAATTATACATATATAAGTGTTATTAGTAATTCAATATACTCTGTGAAATTAAAATTATACAAGCTAAAACTTAATTACAAAGTATCATCAAAACATTAAACCATTACATAGTTTTTTTTTATATAAAATCAAAAACAAAATAAAAGAGACTTGTGAGTGTGTTAGCTTCAGAACTTTCGCCCAAGGTTATCTACGCTAGTACATAATTTTGAATTGAAGGCATTAGGAAAATAACATCCACTAACAATTCTTCGGCTATTCTCTTCTACCCGAATAGAGGAATTTGACTTTCTCTCTTATAGTTCAGCTACTGCCCAAAAATGTGGTGAGCGTTTTTGCAACAAAAGGCCACGAACTATGAAATATTAGATTCACAATATAAGCACATCAACCACAAGAACACGCCCCGATCTTTCCCTTTGTAAAGCTATGTTAACTGTCTGATTAAACTATAAACTTCAAATGCTTCTTCAAAGCATCTTAAAACGAACTCTTTAGAGTTGTTCCCTACGACTAAAACATGATCAACAAGTCTAAAGTTCCTTGGAAAATGCCACCAATCTTCACTTTACTACATTAGTCACGTACAATCTTTTGGCCCCCCCCCCCCCCGAGCAATGGTCTACCAAAAAAAGAAATAAATAAAATAAAGCAAGCAACTCTGAAATCTGGTCGTTAAACAGTTTTAAAGCTAGAGCAAATATTATCGTGTAAGGAGACTTTTACATTTTCAAGCACTCAATTTTGTTCTAACAAACTCTATTAAAATCAATTTCACAATCCTCAAACAACTCCTCCAAATAAAATTCCAAGGTGAGGGGGTCCATCTAATATCCTCCCTGATGATAACCCATTAGAAAACATCATTTAAAAGAATCAATAATCACATGGTCATCAACAAAACTTCAAATGTATAATTCTCACATTCTTCTTTTCTTTAATATATTAAACAAATCCTTACTGCTAATTCTAATATTAAGAGCTAACTATTCTTCTTGAGGTCTTTATGAGATCCTAATTTTGTTCCCCGCTGGGTCAGTGGTAAATTTAAGGATTTACAATGCTAAAATCGGGTTCAGTTACCCACGGTGAACACAGCTCTGATAATGCATTGTGTAGCTTTGTTCTAAAATATCGACACCACTAACAACAGCAACAGTCTATTTTACTATCTTTTTCTGTAGTCCTTTATATCTTCCATCCTGGCTGTCAGTTTAAATTATCTAAATATATAATGTTATGTCTAATTTCATCCATTATGTCTCTATTAAGCCTCACAGGTCTACTATTGTTTTTTTTTCCTATCTAGATGGAACTTGCTTATACTGAATTAAAAGTAATATATTTATTTCCACACATTTCTTCAGTGAATGATCTTCTGCCACTTGTTTTTAATATTTCAATGCATACGACTTAGTCATCTAACGAATTTGCTGTTATCTATTTATTTTAATATGAACGTTGTTTAGATTAAGTTTATATTTAAAAACATGCATAGCTCAGTATTGTTATGCAATCTGAATTTTCTAGAAAACCTTCCCACGCCTATAAATACAACCAACGCGACGCGCCAAAAGAAGAGTGTCTATTAGCAGTTCGCTATAATCAGTGTGCTATAAACTTCGAACGCTATAACTGTGATTGTTATAACGCTTATCAATTGGAAAGCTTCAGATATTTGACCAGGAATCTTTACAAAGTTCGAACATTACAAACTATTTAACTTCAATGGATTCTCATCGGACATTAGTATTTTTACGAAAACGTTATATAAATTCACCACGAAAGACAAAGTGCTTGTGACGAGTGAATAACGAAAGATAAAAACTCAGCGTATGTGGCAAAGGACAAAGCTAGCTAGCTTCCCTGCGAATCGTGCCTACATCAACTCGTAATTAACTCGCTCATCATGAACCCTCGATAAGATATCAAGGAAGTTCTAGACTAGGAAGAAGACTCTATATTGTTTGTAAGTTTGTGAAACTTTTGTTTGTGATAACTATTTGTAATAATTGCTATTGTAAATTGTATTTTTGTGTGTATATTAAAACGTATTTGTGTTAAAAACGAAAACTGTGTGTATCAATCTTGTTGGCAAATATAATAAACTGACAAAATATCGGCTTTAATTTAACTACTGAATCCAAAGCACAATTTAACTACTAAATCTGAAGTATCATTTAACTCAATTTCAGGCTATTTGAAATTCTAACAGGTAACAGTCAGTAGTGAAGATATGACAGGAAGTTTGGTGATTTAATCGTAACAACGATCCCAGGCAACAAATTTTACAATTCATTGTTCATTTATTTATATTATTTGAAACTTGGTGGTTAATGAGAAGCAAAGTTCGATCATGATTTTATCTTAATTAAGCAGATTTACAATGCTACTTTATTGCTGCTTGATAGTGTTAAAAAAGGTAGTAAAATTATGATTGTCTTACTTGGATATCTGCTGTTTATTAAACAACTAGCACATAGCCGTCAAAAATGACGGGCAAGTACTACCACCCCCACCCCATAGCATACCCTAACCTCACATTTCATAGCTAAATGAAATAGATAAATTTTTCGAAATCAAGTTTGATCAACAAAGAGGCAGAAAAGTGCAGTGGAGGCAGTCAAACGTCAATGGTAAGGGAGACACTATCGTATCTAAATGGTGCCGCCTCACGCTGATTGGCTGCCTCAGGGGAGGGGGAGAGGGGGTGATGTCATTAAAGATGACGAGTTCATAGTCTCAGTTTTTACCGCCATAACAGGCGGCCATGGTGTCATAGTTCAACTAAGTTATGGAGGGCTGAAATTATAGTTCGATACCAGACAGGTGGCCATAATGGATAATTACGTAATAGTGTACTACAAAGTAGATAATGCATTTCTAGGCCACCATGACAGGTGGCCATGACTCATCATGTCGATAATTAGTCAATGATTAATTAAATCATTCCTAAAAAGGATGCTTAACTCTAATTCATTAAATCATTTATAATGAATTTGTCCTTAAAAGGACGTTTAACATTAATTAATTAGTTAATCCTAAATAGGACAGTGAATGCTAATTCAGTAGTTAATTAATTAATACTTAAATCATTCTACCACGAAGTAGAGAAGGTGTTTTTAGGCAGTCATGACTCATATAATACATGTCTCAACAATAATATAATTAAGCATTAATTCGATAGTTAACTAATTAAATCGTCCCTAAAAAGGACGCTTAACATTAATTCATTAAATTATCTATAATTAATTTGTCCTAAAAAGGACGCATAACATTAATTCATTAAATTATCTATAATTAATTTGTCCTAAAAAGTACGCTTAACACTAATTCATTAGTTAATTAAATTATCATGAAAAAGGACGCTTAACGCTAATTCAGCAGTTAATTAAATCTCCTTACTATTTATATGTTCTAAAAGGATGATATCTTAATTAAAATTACTCTTTTAATTATCAATCAAGTGTTTTTCAATGATATGATATATTATTTAACATAACATGATCACAATTATATACATTTTTTATCATGCACACAATACATGGCTGTAGGTTTAAATCGCCCTAGAAAGGGCGATATCATGCAATAATTAAAACTTATACCTTTGAATTTAAACAACATTTTACTTTGTCAATAAAACGTTTATTATGCAATAACACTTTTACTAATTTGACTCTATACAACAAAATAATTTACACGTGTTTTACAAAGACGGACTTTCATATATATATATCTATATTTAATTACTATTATTCTAACAACTGTCCGTAGGAGTTTAACAAATATACTGGGACAGTACTTCTACAAACCATCAACGTCTAGATTTAATTATGTTAAAATTCATTATCTGTAATAAAATAATAAATGACTGACTTACTGTATCCGTCCATTTTCTAAATAACCATTGATCATTTCCAAATGCACATAAAACTTGCGAAAGTGTGGAATACATAATTTATTTCACTGTTCTGTAGAACACTTACTGTTTCACTTTCACAAATCATTCATATTATAACCAATAATCGCCATACAGCTAAATATAATAAATGAAAGAGTGATTACTAATATTTAAAATACCACAACTTTCAGACTGGCCACTATCACGAAACATGCATACAATTTTCTACATGTTGTTTCTGTTATAAGTTCATAAAACTAACGAACCATATCTGATGTCAAACTAGAACACAAACATAGACAGTTATTATGACAACACGTGATCAAATGTAAAGCTTTCTTCTACAGCACCTTGGAGATACTGACGTCACCAACATATAGTTTACCAAGACTGACTCATTGAAGGACACTGACCATCTTGGTTAAGAAATGTAGAAGTTTAGAAAAATCATGGCATTAGAATTGTCAAACCTTGATACTGTTTAACTTTGCTTCACACACATTCAATCTGGATACAGACTTATAAGAATTACAAAGGTCAACAAATGGTCACCAGTGTTATAATTCTTTGATTATTTCACTTTATAGATAAATTACAAAACAGTATTCTGTGATTATATATAAAACTCACGTTTGTCTTAGTGTCCTTCAGTCCACTAGAATAAAATGAAAAATCGATTCATCACATGATCTCGAACTGAAGTCAAGACAGAGAGTTAAACATTGGTGTATTGTATGACCTTTAGTGTTAGTTACAACAGATAAAACTTCCATTTCAGCGTGCAAAAACCTTTTATTTAAATAAAAATCAATTATAATACACTGTCCCTATGTATTTACAATATACTTAAAATAGATAGTTCACTGTAAATATCAGTTTGATACAATTTTTGTATTTAATTATATTGTACGTTTCTAAAATGTAATTATTAATTTTGTAACCAACGGTGACGTGTGTGGGTGTAACCACGTGATCATCTTTGACACAAGTTCGAGATCATATGGGTGTATGAGTTAATTTCAATGTTTTGTGAACTTTTAATATAAAATCTATGGATAACTGTAAGTCATTCATTTATTATTTTTAG